GGACTTTTACTTCCAGGATGACAACGCTCCTTGTCATCGAGCCAAGTCCGTCCAGCAGTGGATGAAGAAGCATGGTGTTCGACTCCTGGATTGGCCAGTTCAAAGCCTGGATTTAAACCCAATTAAGAATTTGTGGGCCAAGATTGGTTACAAAATAAGCAAAAAGCATCCGAAGACCAAGCAGGAGCTGATTGAATCCATTATTGCAGCCTGTCACCAAACATCACGTGCAAAGACTTATACAGTCTATGCCGAAGTGATGCCGCCTGGTGATAAGCAATAAGGGCTGCCCAATTTCATATTAGTAACCATGTTTGGTTATTTAAACAGTCCTTTTCAGGGCCACAAACAATAAAATTGCTAACAAAACACTAGTATCGGCCTTAGTAATTAATTGCAACACCTACGCCACTGAGTATGCATCAGTTAATTTGTTTTCATAGTCATTGTAAGCATGCATTGTAAGCATGCAAGAAAATTCACAATCCCCATCCAAACAGCACCAAGTTGCAAAAAGCTTATGCTTCCCTGCACGGTTTATATCCAACCAATACCAGAAGCAACGATACAGCTCCAGATCATCACGTGCAATGGATGCTTCACAGATAGATTCAGGCAGTATGGCCTAAATTCTTCAGCTAGAAATCTTCTGACATACTTATTGCATTGATTCCCAATCAAGTACAAATTGCTCTCGTCACAAGAGGACCTTGGCCCATTGTTCATTGGTCCACTTGGCATACTTTTTGGCCCATACACATCAACAAGAGTGGTGAGCATCTTCGAGCCCTGTAGCCTTTGAGTCCTTTGGCAAGCAGTCTGCGACGCAATGTGCTGGTGCACACTTTTACATCACATGTTTCACTCCAAATTCTTGTAATCTGAGGTGAGGCGAGCTTCCCCTTGAGTTGTTCGCAGCCCTGAGTCCCGCCGGGAATAGGGCGGCATATAAATAAAACAAATCACAATCTCAATCTTTCCTGTCAGCCATCGAAATGCATTGCAGAGCCTGATCTTGCCATTTTGTCAACTTTCTTGGTCTTCCAGAGCGGAGCCTATCATCAACTCAACCAGTTATTTGGTATTTTTCAACTACTCTGCTCACTGTGGTGGGGATGGCATTTCACTCTCTTGGCTATTTCTGTACAGGAATAACCCTCTTCATGAAGCACAATGATGTGATGCCGCTGCCCAGTACTGGTGAAAGCAAAGGCCTTCATCCTTGCCTGCAGCCAGAGCTAAATTAAATTTCTCGATGCTATTCATGCCTATTTATAATCAGAGAGTATGAACATTGATTGGCTCATAGATTTAGCCTCTGTGCATTTTGATTGGTCAGCCAAAGCTCGCTGCTGATTGGCTACTTTGGATCCTAACATTCTCGAAAATTCAAGTTGTGTTTGTTTTAGCACATAAATTCACTCAAAAAAAGACTTTGGTTACATTAATAAAAATTATGCCTCTCAATCTGACTACAGAAATGTTCATCAAAGTACTAATTTTGTGTTGTTTCTATGAGTGAAAAGTTGATTAAACATGTAAATACAGCTTAAAACTGAAAGAGTGCAGGACTTTTTCACACAGCTTAAAATAAGGTGAAATAGTGGAAGAACCCAAAGTCAAAAAAGACAGATCACCCTACAGTTGTACAAATAATTAGGTCCGATAGAGTGGGATAATTGAAATAGACTCTGGACACTTTTTATTTAAGGAGGGGGAGATTGATTGAAATACAATTCTTTCTTCTCAATTAAAACATTGATGGTCTGTTCTCCTCTCTGTTCCTTCAGATCTAGAGAAAGATTGGTTTCAAAATAGAAGAAAGTAATTTGCTTGAAAGGATTTTTTTAAAAAAATAAGAGTGATTTTAAAGGCTGGGACAGAAATGATTACCGTATATTTGGAATATAAAATGCACCTTTTTCACCCAAAAACGAGAGTGAAAATCTGGATGTGTTTTATACACTGAATACAGAAAAATACAGTAAGTTGAATGCTGGTTAGAGACCAGAGATGCAAAGGCGTAGTTCTTTTTTTCAATGTTCCTAAACACATCTACAATAGATCTGCTGATTTTGCCTGTAATATAATAGATGACAAAAGTATAATAGATTTCATACATTTTTCTTTGAATATTGTTGGTATAAAGAGGAAATACCATTTTTATAACTCAAGTGTTGACTTTAATGTATCTCCACATGAAGGCAATGCTAGGAAAATGAGAGAAAAATTGTTTTCAGGTCATATTAGATCTGGCTTTTTTTGAAATCTCTATATCTAACATCTAGCTTCTCTCTAACATCATCCATCCATCCATCCATCTTATATGGCTACCCCTCTCACAAGAAATGTCTCTGGGTGGTACACAATAACAAAAAGGACAAGAACAATAAATATGTCCAATGCAGTCATATTGTTTGTTTTTTTAAAAAAAAACAAACCTCAAGAGATTTGATCAGCAGTGAAACCATCACAAGATCTCGCTAGTTCCTTGAGACTCACAGCCTGATGGCAAAGCCAAGTTAATAACCTATCTGGCCTATTTAAGATCAGGCTTGTCCAGTGTGAGGCCCATAGGCTCTACATGCTCTTAGACATTTAATGTGATTGTACAACATTATGTGATTTATTTACATTAACTATATTATATATTTTATGTGTGCCCCAAGACAATTCCTCTTCACTCAGTGCAGGTTAGGCAAGCCAGAAGATTGGACATCTATATTTTAGACTGATGAAAGAACTTGATTATATTTTGGGTGTCATATCAAGATCTGTATTATCTTTAGAAGATTGTAGTATGTTATATCTCATAAAAATAAGCATTTGGATTGCAACGGTTTTGAAGATGACATTGTGCTAGGGTTTCATTTGAATTCAGTGTTTGTGTGAAATATCATTATCCTGAAAAACAGGAATAAGCTCCTTTGACAATAGTTTTAGTATGCAACATGCATTATCTACCTTTCTATTTGGGAAGCATAACCTATAAAACTATTGCAATTAGTTTCTAATGGTAATATGGAGAAATGAAAAACTTAATGTACAAAATAGGATCCAGTCTTATATGTTTATTATTACTGAATTTGTGCCTTTGGTTTTTAGTTAGGGGAATGACAAGGAGCCAAGAACATTAATATTATAAATTATTTATATTAATTCACTTTGCAAATAATTAAAGTCCCTCAAGGCCACTGTAATTTTGGTTCTAGTGTAGGATGAGGCTCGTTTTTTAAAATAATCTCAGAGTTGTGTCCTTGTTCACAACTGTCATATATCCAGAGCTAAATCTGATTTGCATTAGACTCTAAATGTTTCCTTCATCTTATTGCTTCATTATCCTATCTAGCAGAAAGAACAAAATGAAGCAACTTATTTGCCAAGTTGACTACTGATCATGATTAGACCACTATAGTAGGATACAGGTGACAATCTTTAAATCCTCTTTCAGTAGTAAAGCTCACTGAGTGACTTTAGGTCAGTGATTTATTTCATTCTTATAAGGTTATTGTGAAAATAAAAAAGGTAGGTGAATAAAAAGGTAGGTGAATAAAAAAGGTAGGTGATACTGATTGACATGTGTTGGGGACATGTCAATCAGTATGCCGCCTTCAACATCTGAAGGAAGATAGAAGATTAATATAAGAAATTATGGGAGACCTAGTTTTGGAAATGGTTTTATCAGTGAGGAATTTTCATAATTTCTCAATCTAATTTGCAGCTCTTGGGATTTCCTGGTAATCTCCTACCCCAGTATTTTGAGATTAACCTTGAATAGGTAGATGCTGCTACTTACTGCAACTTTTAAGTTGTGGTTTTTATTACATTTGTATTACTTTTTTTGTCCAAGACAGTGCAAATGGGATTTCTTCCCATGTTTTATCTTTGCAGCAGTATCAAAAAGTCTGGCTAATGGCCAGAGTTATCATCTGTGGTGATACTCTTTGTGATCAGTATGAGTGTATTAGTCTTCTGTTAGCACAATGGATTCAGATGTGTGAAGTTATCTTATGTATCAAGTTCATGTATTTTTAAACTTTGATTTTCTTCCGTATTCACGCAACTTCTATTTTAACAAAACATAGCTAATTTATTATTTTGAATAACATACTCTTGAAATCTACTTCTCTGTGTTTATCATTTTGAAATCGTTTTGGCCCTACTTGTTTCTGCTTATCATTTTGTATTGCTTTATTTGAAACAGAATATTTCAGTTATTTTACTGACAATAAACATTTTCTATTATGCTTTATTTTTTTATGCTAAATAAAATATAGTCATTTGTTTTCATAGAAATTGGAGCTGAAATCCTCTTTTTAACTGTCTGGATCATGCCATTTTCAATGAACATAAAAATGAAAATCTATTATGGTAGTTGTTTTTATGGCAAAGAAAAAGGTGTGTAATTTAAATTATTTAAACTTTTTGACTTGCCCCTGACCAATGAATGAATAAATGATTACAGATCTATTTAAACATTTATTAGATCACACCATTTTGCACCCATTTTGATATATCTACACACACACACACACACACACACACACGTAATTTTTTACATTTTATTTTTTGCTACTTATTCTACATCAAGACTAAAACTATATTGGTAAATTAGAAACATATTAGAGAGAAGAAGGAAAGACAAACTAAAGAATTGAGCAATCAAGTAGATGGAGCAAAAATTTATGGCAACAGAATTAATAAACTCCAATAGAACAATTTAAATGACAGAACAGATGCTGCATAATAACAAAACTTTTGAATTTCATACTGTTTCAATACTTTGCCACAAACATTTGAGGATCAAATAGTCTTATATTAAATGATTCTGAACTTTTTAAAATGGGTAATATCATGTAATCATTGTTTGCTTTTACGGTTGTGCAAAATGGAAACATGACATTCCAAAGATTGCTAGTATTAGTCTTTATGAAAGTATATTCTTCAGAATATTAAAATTTGCTGCTTGTCTGTGATCTTATACCTTTCTTGTATCTTAGACACATAACACCAGAGAAATTTTATGTGGAAGCTTGTGATGATGGAGCAAATGATGTACTTACCATTGACAGAGTGTCCACAGAAATTACTCTTGCAGGTATTTTTTCATTTTCTAATGTGGTATTCTTATTTGTAGAAAAATTTTCTAAAACTTCAGTATGATGTTAATATTACACTAATATTAATACCATTCCTTGTTTATTTTCATTCACAACATATTTTCCTCAAAATTCCTAGTTACATATTTTCATTTACCTGCACAATGTGAAAATGCAAATGTCATCAAAATTGTAGAAGCTAATGTACTACTAGGGATTAGCACTGCAGGTAATATTTAAGGTAGGAAGATACTTGGCTTGTGCATATCAGGAGGGAAAGGACTCCTTTGTAGAGTTAGCTACATGTGGATCTGCTAGGCACTTACTGCAGAAAGGATATGAGATGTGTGTTTTATTGTATTGGTTTTGGCACTTCAGTTATGTTTTTGCTTTCCACAGCGATTCAGCTAGAAATCCCTGAAATATTTTATTTATTTATTTGTTTGTTTGTTTATTTATTTGTTTGTTTATTTATTAGACTTATATACCGCTTCATAGGGCTTTCAGCCCTCTCTAAGCAGTTTACAGATTTTTTAGCAAATTGAGCAAATTGAGTCAGCAACTTGCTGGGTCCTCATTTCACCCACCTCGGAAGGATGGAAGGCTGAGTCGACCTTGAGCCGGTGAGATTTGAACCGCTGAACTGCAGATCACAGTCAGCTGAAGTGGCCTGCAGTACTGCACCCTAACCACTGCGCCACCTTGCCTCTTCTTATAATAATAATAATAATGATCCAAGCCTGAATAATAAGTCCAGACTTCTTTGAAAAGGACTATTTAATTAGTTTAATTACTGGCAGGAAATTCTGGCTGCTACATAACCCATGTTGTATGTAGAAGCTTGATTTAGATAATTCTAATTTACATTCTTTATTATTGGCATTTTAATTATTTGATTTATTCCCCTGGTTGTTTTCTGTTTTCAATTAGTGCCTCCAGGGTAATTATCTTATATAGTTCAAAAAATAGTCTTATCCAGCCACACACAATCTTTCATAGAGAAGACATGAGTTTTTATCTGGATGTTTCATACTAAATAGACTCGTTTAAACCAGGGATATTAATAATTATTAGTTTAATTTCCACAGGTTTCTTTGAGTCCGCTGTAAGTATGTTGAAGTCTGATTATGATGTAGTACTAATATCAGTTATTATTAAATGAAGTGTTGATTTTGAAATTTTAACCTGGAATTTTAAGTAAATAAAAATATATGATATGCATATGACATGTTAAAATACTTCGTACTCCTTTTTATTTTTAAAGCTCAATTTTAATAAAATGGTAATTATTACATACATGGTGTAATTTAAACAGTGTTCTTGCAATATTTCATATGGCAGTTCATGCTGTTTTTCTTTTGCAGTTAAAAAAGATGTTCCACCTTCAGCTATTACCAGGCAAATATGTGGTATTTTGGGAACAGTCCGTCTGGTGGCAGGTATGAGGCTTTCAGAAGAAGTGAAATAAAATTACAACCAGAAAACTGAAAACTTATTATTTTACCTTATTGAAGTCATCCTCCTCCCAATCCAGCAAGGAAGAGGGCTTATTTAGTGAGGTTATGAAGGGGGGAGAGCAAAAAGAAGATGACTTACTTGGAGAATCCATTATTTAAATAAGTTCTTTATAAGTCTTTTTCTGTGTTTGTGTTTCCTCCCGACTGCAATTCCAATTTATGTCTCCTTTTAAGTTTTCTTTTAAAGACTTTTTGTTTTGTTTTTGCTGCTGGCCTTTGTTTCTGCATCCTTGGGTGGTTTTAAAAATAGGGGGGGGGGATTTAAAACATACTCCCACAGCATCAACAACTCACAATTAAAACCTAAATTTTATGTAATCCTAAATCCAAAAACCTAACATTAGTATATATATATATGTTATATTTATGCTGATAAATAAATAAAGGGAGACTAGTATAGATCTATTTCAAGCTATTTAGCTCTCATCAGCTAGCCACACCCTTACTGGGAATCGAACCTGTGCTCTATTGCCTCTAAGGCAGATGTGTTAACCATTGAGCTACAGGGCTTGACTCCTTATCAGCGAGGCCAGGGTGAAAGGTATATATTTAAAGTCACAACCCCTGGTATGCCCAAATATGGGAGGAAGGTCACACTTCCACTCTCTGTCTTCGGCTCGTCACAAGAGACCATCCAGACCATCCATCCAATATTTTTTTTTTTACTGTTGCCTTTTTGTTACATTTGTTATATATATATATATATATATATATATATATTATTAAATAAAAAATTTACTGCCATATAAAAACTGTTACAGGAGAATAAGGAGCTCACTAAAAAGGCTGTCACAGGCAACCATCTTCCTCATGCAATTCAATTTTACTACTTTAGTAGTAATAGACCCTCTTATTAAAGTCATGTTGCATGTAATCAGTATATCCTACTGTGGGTTATGTTATAGCAGTATAGCTTTTTATACACAGAGGAGAATACTTTATTTGCTGACCTGAAATGCTAAACAGATTAGAAAAGGATTGTGCAATTTTTATATCTCTGACTATCATAATATAAACAAGATAGTCTCATATCAGAAAGGTAAAAGTGGATATTAATTTTAACATTACAAAGAAAAGAACATTGTTTCAGAAAATGATATAGAGCAGAGGTCCTCAAACTACAGTCTATGATACAGCCCGGCCTTTGGCAGCCCGGATATGGCCCACCAAAGCAATTAATCCAGCCTGTGCGGGACCATGAGTCTGCCCCGCTCACATCACCCCGCCCATCCAACAGCCCCCACCCTTCGGCTGAGTACGGGCCTTTCACAGGCAGCCACAGTGAGCAGAGTGGTGTGAGCTCCATGGGCTGAATGGGGAGGGAAATCCACTCTTGGCCTGCCGTTCTAGGCCAAAGGGCCATTTTGGGTTTTGGGGGGATGGACACCGCAAGGCTCAACTACCTTTCAGGCCCTGCTCTGGGCTGGGCAGTGGTTCACCTTTCCCAGCTGGCTGCAACCCCCAAATCCTGCCTTACTCCAATTGGTGCGGTCGGCTCAGTTACTGGTGAGAGCAGCCGCCACCTTGCTTGCACCTTCTCATCTAAGCTGCCGGGTATTGCTCTGGTTCTTTCTGTAACAGCCGTACACACTTTTCTTCCAATTCTAAGTACGCCTTGGCACTTGCAGCCATGGCAGACAAGCTGCAGTTCTCCTTGCTCCAACCAGCAGTCTCTGCTCGCATCAAGAAGCCCGCGTCTGGGTGGGAGTAGGCCAAGGACAGATGACACACTGCTTCCGGGCCAGTTTGGGCAGGAACGGGAGAGCCACATAGGGACGGCTCGCCCAAAAGAACTATGGCAGAGCCGTGCAGCTTTTATCTGCCAGCTGGCCTCCGGGTAATGCCCCCCCCCTCCTCCTCCTCTCCCCTTTCCCTTTCTGCAGTGTCTTGTTTTTCCAAACACCCAGGCTGGGCAGCAATTCACAGGAAGGTGCCCCAACCAAGGAGATTCAGAATGTGTCCCATGGCTTGGCCACTGCATTAACTGCTCCCGCCCCTTTCGAAATGGCCACCTGGTGCTTCCCTTGGGCGCCCAGGGCCGGCGTGTGGCTCTTCCGAGAACTGGGGGAAGGAAGGCAGGCACTCCAGTGGAGGAGACAAGCTTCAGTTGCTTGTTCTGTTGCAATCCCAAATGATTGGCCTTGGCTGCGGCTCATGAGTGCTCTGTCTGCCAGGGGAACTAAAGTGGCGAAGCGCCGCATTCTGCTGGCCCTGCATCCCTGGGCAGAGCTCCAGGTGGAAGGGCTTGCTTTGGCCCTGGCCTGGAGTGGCGAGGAGGCGACTGCATGAAAGGAAGCCATGCAGTTGGAGGCACAACTGCAGAAAAATTGCCATATTTGATGCCACCTGCATGATGGGCCTAGCTACTCTGGTGCAAGCTCTGGAGGCAGGTGATGTAGGGCAGGGAGTGTCGGCCTGCAGGAAATAACAAGTGGGGGACCCATGAAGGGGCTGTGAAAAGACACGCCCAAGACCTGGCTGCTTCCCCAGAGAAAGCGGCACAGCTGCTGACAATTGGGGTTGGGAGAGTACCAAAGGAGGAGCTCGTTGCACTGTGACTGCTGCAATGAATATGAGAAGCCCAGCCAATGTTTTGAGCACGGTTAACATCTACAGCCCAATGAGCTTAGACCACCCTGTTACCATAACCAGCCTTTTGTTCATGACGTCTTTGTTAACACTCACCACACCTTGTCAATTTACAAACTCCAGTTACTGCTCAGTGAACATCGCACAGCCAGTCATTATCACCTCACCAATGAATCTCCCAACACCAATGACATTAGCTGGCTTTTTAAATAGCCATGAGACCTGTGGAAAGCATGCCTTTCTTTCCCCAAGCATTGCCGATTCCCCCCCAGTAAATTAATAAACCTAGAACAACAACAACATGCAATATTAAAAAGAAGAATAGAAAAGGGGGCTGCTGTGTATTGTTTAATGGACTGCTAAATTGGCAAAATAGACTGTTAAATTGGCCACGCCCACTCATATGATGACCTAGTCACGTCCACCCAGCCGGTCTGGTCCCTCACCAGTCTGAGGGATCATGAATTGGCCCCTGTTTAAAAAGTTTGTGGACCCCTGATATAGAGGAAGAGAAAGGTACTAAATACATTTCCTTTGGCAGAAAAGAAGAAGAGACGTAGCAGATTTTGGAAATGGTCCAGTGAGGAAGGGTTAAGAAGAAAAGAGTGAGGAATCAGAATGAAATGGTGGCACTAGCCAAATTTAGGGGGAAATGCAGGGTTTTCCTGAGTATCTGATAGTCTATATGCAGGCTATAGACCCTAAATTGTGTATCCATTGATAAAAATGTATAGCTGGAATGTTGTTTTTTTTTTCATTGAGAGCTTTAGAAACCTGGAATATTAGCATTTCAGCAGAACCTCAGTTTGTGAATATATATTTGGTGTAGGAAATCCTTGGGGGTAAAAGAAAATTATAGTTCTTAATATAGGTGGTCCTCCACTCATAATCACACTTTAGCCCAAAGTTTCTGCTGTTAAGCGAGACATTTGTTAAATGAGTTTTTCCTCATTTTATGCCCTTTCTTGTCACAGTTGTTAAGGAATCACCACTTAACATTAAATTAGTAACAAAATTGTTAAGTGAATCTGGCTTCCCTATTGACTCAGAAGTTCAAAAAAGGTGATCATTTGACCACAGGATATTGAAACCATTGTAAATATGAACCAGTTCCCAAAGATCTGAATTTTGGTCACATGACCAAGGAAATACTGCAACAGATGACTGTGAAAAATGGTCATAAGTCACTTTTTTCAGTACTGTGGTAACTTTGAATGCTCAGTAAATGAATTGTAAGTCAAGGACTACCTGTAATAGTCTGCTTCAAGGAAGGATGTGGTGGTGATGCAACAAAGATGGTAATAACAGTATGAATAATGTGGAGAAGGGAGAAAATGAGTTTTATTCCCTCTGTCCATCCTTCTTTCCCTTTTTCTTTTACAAAAAAGAGATATAAAAGAACAATCATCAGAATTGACCCATATTTTGTTATTTTACAGGCACATACCTTATTGTAATAACAAGAAAGAGAAAAGTAGGTGAATTTTTCAATCATATAGTCTGGAAAGCAATTGATTTTGACATCCTCTCTTACAAAAAAACAATGCTACATTTAACTGATATTCAGGTAAGAATTAATATTTGAATGTTTCACAAATTTCCTGTGGACATGTAAAATAAAAGAAAATATTTAATCTCTTAAATTTATAAGAACATGATTACTGATAAGTTGAAGATATAATTTCTCTGAAATTCAGCAGCTAATCCATTAATTGGGATTCAAAGGGCCTAATGAGAGCAGACTTTTCCAATGCAATTTGAAATGCATTATAGACTAAACCTCTGTGCTATATATAAGAATTTTCATCATGATATTTTGTAATATGGGTGATTTGTGTGGTTTTTGGATCTTGAACAGTTTCAAAGCTATTCCAAAATGACTGTTTTGTAGTTTTAACTAAAAAAGCTCTTCTACTTTAGCATAATACTAATATATAATATATAATAATATTGTAGCCCTGACGTACAATCAGAACTGAGTCCAAAATTTCTATTGTTAAATGACAGAGTTGTTAAGTGAGCTTTGCCCCATTTTATGAACTTTCTTGCCATAGTTATTAAACGAATCACTGCAGTTGATAAATTAGTAACACGGTTGTTAAGTGAATCTGCCTTCGCTATTGATTTTGCTGGACAGAAGGTCACAAAAGATGATCAGATGATCTAGGAACACTGCAACCATCATAAATATGAATCAGTTACAAGCATCTGAATTTTGATCACATGACCATGAAAATGCTGTAATGGTTGTAAGTGTGAAAAATGGTCACGTTACTTTTTTCAGTGCTGTTGTAATTTTGAACGATCATTAATAAATGAATGTAAGTCAAAGTCTACCTGTATTTTTTAATTTAGATTTTTAGTATGATTACTTTTAAGTTTAGCATATTAGCTTGTCAATTTGTGAGTGTCTGTATGTATGAGGGAAAGTCTAGAAACTAGGAGACTAAGAGTTTTAGACCCACCTTAGCCATGAAAGCCAGCTAGATAACTTTGAACCAGTCACTCTGTCTCAGCCCAACCCACCTAACAGAATTGTTGTTTAGTGAAAATTGGGGAAGAGCGAGTATTCAGTATTTATCAAAACAATAAAGAAGTATATGGTCTGGTATGATTATATTTTTAGTTTTTCTGGAGTGTTGCATTTCTTTAATGATCTTTATTATAAGGAGCTGGATTGCACTGTAATGTGGAAATGCTGTATTTCTGCCTGCCCAACTTTTGAAGATTTTCTGCTAAAATGCTTCATCACATTTTATGAACTACTACTAACACAAGGGACAAGAATAAGTAAATAACAATTCTTTTTCATTTATCAGTTACAAGATAATAAAGTCTTCTTAGCAATGATTAGTCATATATTGAGTGTGGATGGATTTTATTTCTCTACAACATATGACTTGACACACACCTTGCAACGATTGGCTAATACCAGTCCAGAGTTTCAAGAAATGAGTTTGCTAGAGAGGGTAAGAATATTTCTTTCAATTTTTTTAGAAAAACAAGACATTACATATAGAGAAAAAGTGTGTGCATATTGAGTAGATTCGCTTTGTTTTTAAACTGCCAGTTTTAATTTTTAATGTCATAGTGACCAAGGTATAATGTTTCAACAAAGTGTGATGGTTTTTAAATTGTCTGTTCAATATTTCTGTGAATTCATTGTTTGTTTACCCCATATTCTTGTGCATTTCCTAAATTTATATTTCTGGAAAAATTGGGTTAGTTTCTTATTTAGTCATCCTTGGAGATCAGTTGAATTCTTATGTCATTTTTCTACTAATAAAACTGCTTCAATTAGTGGGATTGGAAAGAACATCATGGTGTTTTCCCAAAAATCTATATCCTTCCTTCAGATCTGATCTATAATATTTAGAAGGCAATCTGAAGCATATTTGTAATGGAAAGCTGCAGGAAGAAGAAAAAAGTCCATTACCTGATAGGATTTTATCGTGCATTAAATCTTGATTTGCTTTGTTCCTGGTACCTTTCTATAATTCTACTCTGAAATGTACAATATAGCTCTAACTTGGTTTTTAATTATATCTCTGTTTTTACAGGCAGACCCACGGTTTGTATGGAATGGACACCTTCTTAGAGAACTTGCTGCTCAACCTGAGGTAGTTCATTCTGCTGGGCATAATCTCCAAAATGTTAATTTGTGACTTTATAGCTTTTTGTTAATTCTCTTCTAATGTAGTTGTTTGGCTTATCTGATTTGTTTATAGATAATTTGCTGCAGTTCTAAAAATTGATAGAAACAAGTTAACATATGGCTCATTGAAAATTTTCATGAGACTCAAGATCAGAAGAAAACATGGGCTGAAGCAATACAGTGTGCTTATTTATACTAGCTTTATCAATCAATTATGCTTAGTAAACTTTGAGGCTTGGGACTCCATGCACCCTAAATCATTCAATCTTGGCAGGTTTCAGTCGAAATATATTGTCCTCCAGCCAGGCCCACACAACCTCCAGGCAATGTGGCAGGCCTGAATAGGGGACAATAGACTTTGAACCCTGCCAAGACCAATTGACTTTGGGTGCATGGACTTTGACATCTTTAGTTCTGGATAAGGTGGCACTAGCCCAGATAAATCCGGTCCACAACATGGGGATTATCCTGGGTTTTTGACTCTTGTTCAAAGAGCAGGGGGCACTCACAACTGGGTGAGGATTTGAACAACTTCAGGTTATAAGCCAGTTGCGGCCTCTCCTGGATCAGGAGTCCCTGGACTCAGTCATTTAAGCCTTAGTCATCTCATGTTTGGACTATTGCAATGGATTCTATATGGGGCTACCCTTGAAGAGCATTTGGAAGCTACAGCTGTTTCAGAGTGCGGTAGCATAGATGGTTTTGGGGGCCCTAAGGGTGCCCCATATAGCACCACTGCTTCAGGAGCTGTACTGGCTGCTGGTTTGCTTTTTGAGTGCAATTCAGAGTATTGGTAATCCCTTTAAAGCCCTTCATGACATAGGTCCAGGCTACTTGAGGGACCATCTTATCCCACTGGGATTTGCCCACCCCGCCAATACTGGCAGATGAGGCGTGTTGCATGCCCCATTGGCCAGTTTATTCCTGCTGGGGAGGTCCAGTAGAAAAGCCTTCTCTGGCATTGCTCCTAACCTATGAAACATCTTGCCCCTGGAGTGAGGTTGGCTCCTACCGTCCCGAACTTCTGCAAGAGCTTGAAGTTCTGATTCTGCCACTTGACTTGGGGCTTC